TTAACCATTCTGAAACCATGACTATTAAATGTCGATTTATTACGTGGTACAGTCCGTAGATTGAATGCTGATTCAGCCATTCCGATACCATGCCCATTGAATGTCGATTTACTACGTGGTAAAGTCCGTAGAGTGAACACTGATTTAGCCATTCTGATACCATGACTATTGAATGTCGATTTACTACCTGATACAGTCCATAGAGTGAATGCTGATTAAGCCATTCTGATACCATGACTATTGAATGTCGATTTACTACCTGATACAGTCCGTAGCGTGAATGTTGATTTAACCATTCTGATACCATGACTATTGAATGTCGATTTACTACGTGGTAAAGTCCGTAGAGTGAACACTGATTTAGCCATTCTGATACCATGACTATTACATGTAAGCCAGTATTATGAGTTAATATTAAATGCATATTTTTCATTTTATCTCTTTGATTATTAAATAGTGAATGTTAACATAGCTTTTAAAAATAAATAAATATATAAAGCATAAAGTTGATGCTAATTGAGCCATTTTGATACAGTTACATGTAATTATATATACTAATTTGGCCTGTTTGATATTGTAGATGCTGTTAATTTTAGTTTGATTTAGTGAAAGATGACCATTTATTTAACTTGTTTGATGAGCAGATATGTGTTGTTAAGTGAGCTTGATTCATCATTGAATGTTGATTGAGCGTGTTTGATAAGTTTATATTAATTTGAACTGGACTCTGTGATATAGTGAGTATTGATTGTTGATTGAGCGTGTTTGATAAGTTTATATTAATTTTGAACTGGACTCTGTGATAAAGTGATAATTGAACGTTTATTGAGCGTTTTTAGCTCACCCGCCCGAAGGGCAAAAGAGCTTATGCCATGGTGCGGTGTCCGTCGGCCGTCAACCTTTCCTTTAAACGATTTCGAGATTGGACAGGCCTAGAGTCTTGATATTTGGCTGAAAGCTTCGTTGGTAAGATCCCAACAAAGTGTGAGAATGAAAATGACATTTGCCTACTTTCAAGGTCACAGGGTCAAATGTGTCAAACATTTCAAACGACTTTTTCTAAAGAACTGAAAGGTACAAAATCTTGATGTTTGGCATGTGACTTTCTCGGAAAGGGCCCGACAAATTTTGCGAATGAAAATGACCTTAATCTTCTTTCAGGGTCACAGGAGTCGAATATGTAAAACACTTCAAATAACTTCTTCTGAAATACTGAAAGGTATAGAATCTTCATATTGACCTTCTTTCAAGGTCATATGGGTCAAATGTGTCAAACACTTCAAAGACTTTTTCTGAAGAACTGAAAGGTATAGAGTCTTAATGTTTGGCTGGTAGCTTGTTTTGGTGGAGCCCAGCAAAGAAGTTTGAGAACGAAAATGACCTTGATCAGCTTTCAAGGTTATATGGGTCAAATATGTCAAACATCAAACGACTTCTTCTGAATAATGGAAATGCCTAGAGTCATGATATTTAGCTAAAGGTTCATTCGTAAGAGCCTGACAAAGTCTGCAAGTGAAAATTATCTTGACCTTCTATGAAAGTCACTGGGGTCAAATATGTCAAACACTTCAAACGTCTTCTTCTAAAGAAATGAAAGATATAGAATCTTAATATTTGGCTGGTATCTTCTTTGGATATAGGTCGACGAAGTTTACAAATGAAAATGACCTTGACCTACTTTCAAGGTCACGGGGGTCAAATATGTCAAAAATATCAAATGACTTCTTCTGAATAATCGAAAGGCATATAATCATAATATTTGACTGGTGGCTTCTTGTGATAGACCTAATCAAAGTATGCGAATTAAAATTACCTCAACCTACTTTAGAGGTCACAGAGGTCAACAACACTTCAAAGCGCATGGATTCATAAGATTTGGCTGGTAGCTTCAACAGATTGACTTGACAAAGTTTGCGATTGAAATATTTGTAGTACAGTATAATATTTAATGAGAATAATTTGCTATGACTGCTTAGATATCCAGGTGAGCGATACAGGGCCTTTGGGCCTCTTGTTTAATAAGTTTATATTATTTCATGAACTGGACTGTGTTATATAGTGAGAATTGAATGTTGATTGAGCGTGTTTGATAAGTTTATATTAATTTTGAACTGGACTCTGTGATATAGTCAGTATTGATTGTTGATTGAGCGTGTTTGATAAGTTTATATTAATTATGAACTGCACTCGGTGATATAGTGAGTATTGATTGTTGATTGAGCGTGTTTGATAAGTTTATATTAATTATGAACTGGACTCTGTGATATAGTGAGTATTGCTTGTTGATTGAGCGTGTTTGATAAGTTTATATTAATTATGAACTGGACTGTGAGATATAGCGAGTATTGAATGTTGACATAACCAATTTCAACAGCAAAATATTGAAGGTCNTTGTTGATTGAGCGTGTTTGATAAGTTTATATTAATTATGAACTGGACTCAGTGATATAGTGAGTATTGATTGTTGATTGAGCGTGTTTGATAAGTTTATATTAATTATGAACTGGACTGTGAGATATAGCGAGTATTGAATGTTGACATAACCAATTTCAACAGCAAAATATTGAAGGTCTATTTTTGTTAAGTTGATAGTTCCTGTTAATTCAACCACTTAGTATTAAGAATTATGAATATTGATGTGATGCAGACAGCGTGATAAAATAGTTCATATTTATTTATCCAGTTTCAAATAGTGAATGTTTGTTTTGATTCTTCAAATAGTAACTACTGATTTAAACCGTGTTAAACAGATATTATTGAATGTTCAATTTAAGAAGTCAGCTTGATTTAGTGCTAAGTCAATGTTAATGTATCCCGGTTAATACTGTTCATAGTTAATGCTGAATTAGAACGTTTGATACAGGAAATTGATATAACCAGTGGTATTACGTAAAAAAATGAATGTTGAATTAAAAAAACATTGATGTTGGTCATAACATCGTTGTAAACTAAACAGTGAATATTGATTTAACCATCTTTATGCAAGGAAATGGTATTTCAGATTTAACCATGCAATAAAGAGTACATGCAAATTTAGGCGACCTGCTATATAAACTATAAATTCTTACAAACTGCACAAGGTAAGCGATACAATGTCATCTAGTTTATGTTATACACCAGTTTGTTTGTTAACTCAAATAAGTCATTTATTTGATCATAAGATAATAAAAAATGTAATCGCGCTAAGGTGCCGTGCCTTTATAAGAAATGTACACATCCAAAGTAAACAATCAATGAAGTAAAGAATGAACAACTTACAAAACAAACTTACTGCTTTTCTTGCCATTAAAACAGTTAGGTTCAAATAAATAGATACAGGTTAACAAAACAAAAAAACTACACTCTGTTTTGCTAGTATCTATGACCATAGCTAGAAGGCTACAGTCATAAAAAACGGAGCAATATTTACTAGTCATCTTATTAACAGAAAACAATAGTGGTTTGTTAAGTGGGAAGCGGTAAGAAGTTAACATATAAAAGAAAAATATCTTCGTCATTGACTGGTACCTAGGACTAGATACAAATAGTTACATATTAAAACCAAGAAAATTCCTAGCGTGAGTCAAGAGTTACACATGAAATTACCAGAAAATCTATTAGCAATTTGCTCCGGCCTATGATAAGAATTAAACATATACATGTACATAACAGTGACTTACTTTACCATGTGACTAGAAACTAATAATTACAAATGTGGAGAACATTGGAATAATTCACGGACCTTATAACTAGAAACGTTGCAAACAGAAATGAGAGTTTTGTGTCCGGGCTAGCAGTAAATACATGGCATTCCATTTAGAAGCACGGAAGGCGTTAGGACTTACTAGTGCCTATTGGCTAGAATTAATAAGAAACATATATAAAGAGATCGTAATGGGATTCGTTGGGTTCTACGGTTAACTCTACATGGTTACATATGTTCAAAATCTGAATATCATGCTCGGTCTCCACAAAGTTATTGTTAAGCATGAACGACTTTAGAGTGGTTTGCTGGATCTATGACTAGCTGTAATGATATAAATGTAGAAGTCAGAAACAATGTCAGCGATACGACAGGGACCATAATTGCCAGCAGTAGGAATTCAAATGTGAAAATCAGAAACAAACTATCAATCTTGAAGTGACTTGCTAGCAATAATAGTAACAGGTAAATCAGTGAGCATCTAAAAGGTGATATGGTGGTGCATTTTACCATTACTAAACAATTACACAAGGACCTCAAATGTAATGTCCCCGAGGTCGTGTTTGTACGTCAGCCATCAATCTACGCTACTGTTTACGTGCACTAAACACATACACTCAAACGGTTAATGGTACATCGTAGAAAACTAGAAATAAGTCAACACGCCAGCTACATATATCATAACGTCAACACGAGTAAATCATACCTATTACTAAATCCAAAACACAATTATATTATACATAATCCCAAATACAATTATCATCACTCCCGCTATATATGTATACAATATATCACAACAAGATTACATTATCCTTAACAGTATTACATAATCTCAAACAGTATTACTTGATCCCAAACGGGCCATATCTAACCAAGTAAATGCTGACCATGAACGACCCGCGCTCGGCCACAGTGTAGATGTAGCGATGATCACATGGCTATTGGTATATCTATAATCACCATTGTAGATACACACATGATCATGTGATGAACAACAATCCCCTGGGATAACGTGCTGAGGTTTTTGTTATAGATAATACATGCGCTTTATATATTGCCATCATTTAGTAATCGATGTATCAATGTTTTAACAGATGTTATACCAGACAAGTTAGTTCATATGAGTTGGTTATGTTCCCTGTTATATTATATGTCCGATAGTTACTTCCCATGTACAATTGTTAAAATGGCGTCGCTGATACTACTGCTTTTGTGTTTTAGCTATTGAAACAACAAATACTATTAAATACCTATTTGAAACATATGGGAGGAATAAGTGTAAATACAATGGAAAGTATTGTGCATGAACATCATATCACATAAAATAGAGAGAAAACAACAAATTTGGACAGTCGAAACGTCAGTGTCTGACCTCGCAGTCTCGCTGTGATAAACCTGAATAAATATACTACACCCGTGAAAACAATCACACTTCACTCTCATCATCATCAGTCACGTGACTTGGACGTTTCTTTCCACTACCAAATCTGTGGATAGAGTTTTGCTGAGAATGAGTGTTGGGTACATTGTTTTGGTTCTGTGTAGGTACTGGCGCAAAACATTTTACAAGGTTCACGATTTCACATTGCATACTTCCTAAAGCTTGAATTATGTTGCACAACGCTTTCTGGTTTTCGTTCATTACTCTTCTCAAAAATTCTATATCGTCGATGATCCTTGTATTCATTTTACTGTTCGTTTGAAGGTGTTGTAAGCGCACATCAAGTAGTTTCTGCGATCGTTGGATGGCATCAAGTTGTGGAATCACCAGTGTGGTGGGGGCGGGCGCCGCCGGATTGGATGTCCGCCGGTTAACACCTTTCCGTCGAGGAGGCTGGGCTCTGGATGCTACAACACATAACAGCAATGTCCAACATACTTGAATTGAGAGGATAACACGGTGTTTTCAGTGACTATACTGGCGATTAGAACATGAAATTGGGTTTGAACTCGAGACCGGTAGGTCATGGTCCCTAACGAATCATGTTAAAATATAAAATCGACCATCTGTGATGCCGAAACCAAGTGGAGTTGCAATATAACCAATATCATATATATATAAAATGTCAAAGTATAAGGTAGGTCTGGATTGCTATGAGTGACTACATGTGTAGACAGTCTGAGATGTGTAAGGAAAGTCTGACTAAATGCACCGATGTCTTTGATTTATATAGATATACCGGACAGGAATAAGGATAGTTATGGTTCGTGCTATACGCCAAGTGTTGTCTGCCTGAGATAGAATTGCACAGAGCTAGTTGGTAGGAATGAAAGCATTTTACTGAATCCTAAGTAGCAGTATATTACACAGTATAACGATTGCATGCACGCTTTAATTATTTATTGTAGATACACATATTGGTTTTTAATTTATTTTTTAAAATTGATTGTACGTTTGGTTAGTCATTTCCGCAATATTGAGGATTAAACTTTGCCAAGCGTCATTATCAATTTTCTTTTATGTTTCATTTAAATACCCAATTAATTTAAAAATGTTAAAATGTCTTAGATATATTAATCAATCAAATCTACATAATCATATGCAAATAATATTTCTTTCAAGATTTTGTATAGTTTATAATGAGGTGTAATATCCGCAATATCTTTTCTACACAGACGAAACCTTTCCTTATTGGTCTCCTAAGCTAAAACGATTTATTATACCTCTACTGAGTTTTCCCTATATAAAAAACAATACGATAAAATCTGCTGTTTCCCTTTAATCACTCAAATCTCTCCATCTTAGAGCTACTCCGTCCCCAATTTAGGACTACTCCATGCAAAAAAGGACTACTCCCTGCCAGAGAGAGGACTACTCCCTCATGAATATTTGTAGGCGGAGTTTATAAGATTTCAACCAATGAAAACATTGGTAGGCGGGGCCTTCTCCATGACGCTCGTGACGTCACATTTTCAGAACCAAATGCCAACAGTGAAAATGGCCACCGATGAAGGCCGTTTTGTTGTTGTAAAGAGGAGTTACAGCAGATTTTGGACGCTAAACGTATTTTAAATACAAAAGCAGCTGTAATAACGACTGCAGTGAATTCACTTCACACTCATTTAACAGAACGGAATGCCGGAAGCGTCGACGAGAAGGGTAAAGCAAGCTCAGAGGAGGTGAACGTGTGTCCAGTAAGGACACACAAGTTTTATGCAGAACTTAAAAAAAAGTGGATGGGACTAGATCTAGATATGGTAGGAAAACAATGGTGACTGAGATACAGTCTATAAAAACACTTCTTGAATTCCAGAAATGAACTTATCATCAACGACGATGCATACAGTACTGTACTTCCAATTGTATTTTTTCTCTTTGAAATTCTAAAAGGACATGAATGAATAAATTCATTTGTTAAATTGCCTTTAATCATTTGATTCGTTGTAATAAAACAGTTATAGAATGGGTAATTCCGGAAATAGCAAATTTATGGTCACCCTGGATGAAAAACTATTCCCCTCGTACTTCAGTTGATTGTTTTTTTTCAGTGGAACTAATTTGACATATTAGAATATGATTTTCTTGTAAACGCGATACTGTGTGTAAGGGTATAAAATCCTATGATGTATGTGGTGTACTGTTATACGTACATTTGTTCATCATAGGGCATCCGTCCTCCTCCTCCTCGTGTATGGTTGGAGGAGTAGCGTACTGTATTCTGTTGGGCGCGTTTGGTACTGGAGGCGGTGTGTCATTAGTCTCTGCTATCTCCACCTCCTCAGATCGGATGTTTGGTCCGCCATCTTTTACTGTCAAACATAAATGAACATCTTGCCGTACTCCATACACTTTTAGCGCTGTTATAAATCAAAATGCCGTTAAATACTATACCAAATTCGGTTTACTTGTACGGAATATTGACGAAATATAACAAATATTGTTAAAGACATCAGCAACGAAGCAAATAAACCTACTTTCTAGAGAACACTTCTTTCGCTTCACATACTGTAGAAAATGCTACCTTGGCGAGAGCATGTCATCGGTATAGATGCTTAGTCAAATGTAGAGAGTTCTTGTTCGTCGAGAGCAACACTATTTTGAATAGTACAGTGTGTGTGGAGCTAAGATTGAATGTTAGCCCATAGTGTTTTGCGGGTTCTGACTAAGATACAATATATAGGACGTAAACCATCATAGTTAAAGGTCTAGTTCAAATGAACTTGATATTTCCATTTAAATTAAATAATAAGTTTCGATATTAAAATATAAATCAATAGACTAAAATTGTAAGCTACGAGCTAACTGATTTTGCAACATTTGCATTTGCAACGTAAACTTATTTCAAGTGATACCAATGTGTATCAAGCTTTATAAGACTCTGTTGAAAGTATTTCTAAACATTTTCTTTAGGTTGGTAAAAGTTTCTGGTTACACAACCAGTTAGTGTTTCTATGTGACGTTTCGATGACTAGTACGATATGTACACTGTCACCTTCATCGAACAAATGACCAGTCAATCGTAAGCACACAATGGTGTAAAATGTGTACGAGTTGTCCTATTTTCATAACTCTGTTGAAAGGTTCAATGTGCCTTATTCTTAATATATCATATATGAAACTCCAAATGAATACTTTACTATGGATTTGGTAAAAGGGACATACAATTGTAGCTCCCTTAGATAAAGATAGAACACAACTATTATGTTTATGGAGTTTCACGAAATTTGGATTGAGCTGTAAGAGCAGTTGTCCGGACAAAGACGTGACAAATAATTTTGTAAAAAATGCATAACGGATGGACAGACAGACAGGGATCCGTCATCAAGTTTACGTTCTTTTTCGGAAAAAATAACTAATTAATTATCTGTTTTTAATACGACCATTTGCTTATTTCAACATGAACCCGGAAAACCTTTGTCACTTATTCCTGTATATGATAACGTACATAAATAAGGCGGATATAGACGAATTGCTTGATTATTTAATAAATGTTCGGAATAATCAAACTTAGCCTTTAATATAAAAAATATCATGAATATCATTCCGTTTTTGATTATAAAGAAAATCATGTTTGTTGACAGCCTCACCTCCTCCCCCAACTACTTGGCGCCATTATGCTACTTAGCAGTCCACAGACTTTACAGGAGAATATCCGAAAATCAAGCAAGATACACAAAATCAGCGCTATGGACAACTTCCCTGATACTATACTTACGGCTTTCCTTTTCGTCTTTAATTCTTTCCAGCTTGAACAGATATCTCTTTACGAGTCGCTGTATCATTTCGGAATAAGAGGTATTGTCAGTTTTCAGTTCCAACGTCTTGCAAATATTTTCTCGTCTTTTCTGCACAAGCAAACAATATGTTTTGTAATTATTTATTGTTAAAAAATATGACAGATACATTTATGCATATCACAACATAAATTATTCCCCATCATAATGTCAAACATATGTCGTAGAGTGTTATACACTTATGAACTTTTGTGATTGTGAATATGATGTATTCACCTCTGTTAATATTTCTAGGTCATATATCACATTTCAGTTACCTTCATAAAAGTCTGAATTATTTATCATATGCGTGGGTAAATAATTGATTAAGAACAATACTTGAATGTTCTAATTTAGATGATTTGATTAATAACAATACTTGAATGTTCTAATTTAGATGATTTATATGTGGTGTTTTTCGCCATGTTTATATTGCAGGGTTCAGATAATATAGCTTAGTAGAACAATCATACTGACACATACAATGTATTTTTATTCTAAACATTTTTTATTCTAAACATATATCAATATTCAAAATATTTATTTTGTAAACAACTGTTGATAACAGTGAAAGTGTGTAGGATTTCCCTTGGGCTATGTTTAGAAGTTGATTATCACCGGAAAATAAGTCTACATCAGTTTTTGAGATTCGGGTACTTGTATATGATCCTGCCAATACGATTGGATGTTATTGTAAGTATAAATATACAACATCAACAATACTCCACTACAACACCACGTATAAAACTAGTGTATCCTATAAATACCTCTTTATAGCCCGTAATCAACAATATCCCACTATAACCACATTAAACATATATGCAGAATACTATATCACTATAACACCAACACGCACTTAAAGTATTATTTATTCTTATAAACATTAATAATACCCAACTACACCACCCCGACATACACAGTAGAATATCGTATATATTATATATCAACCAACATCATCAAAACCGCACAATATATATAACACTACCATATTATATCATATACACTTAAACCTAATCCCAACACAACACCACTGAATGTACAACCAACATCAACAGTGTCTCAAACATCAAAAAAATATACACAGTTATGGGTCGAATAATTATAAACAACGCAACACCAGTAAAACTTCACTATAGCGCCATCAAACATCCCCAATAGTATATCATATGTTCTTATAAACAAACAAGCAGACACAGATAAAACCTCACTACGGCGCCATCAAACATCCATTGTACATGTCGTATATCATACATACATACATATTAACACCCATAGTAGCATACAATATAAACTTATAAACAACAAACTGATGTAAAACCACCAAACATGGTCTACACTTAACAGCGATAGAGATGCGGCGTCACGGCTGATATTTGGACACCACCAGATAGATGTTTACACGGCGCCACGTACCATTCAATGTAGCGCCTGTGAAACACCTTTCTAGTAGAGAACATTGTAAATGTCGCCAGTAAATACCCTCCTCTACCAGAAATTGTACACTATTTAATAAGAAAACGATACAACGCAATAATGTCGAGAGCTAGTCTTAGGGTACCAGATAAATGTAGCCGCAATAATGGGCAACTGGAAACACCTTCAAGGCAGTTGGAATAAATTACTTCTATTGAAAACACTACACGGGAATTGGGTTTCAGTGCGCACAGTCACATACCTGACGTGTACAAAGGAATAGGGGTTTTAATGGCAAACGCTGGAAACACCTACAAGGGAAGTGGAGTTTTGAGGGCAAACGCTGGAAACACCTACAAGGGAAGTGGAGTTTTGAGGGCAAACACTGGAAACACCTACAAGGCAAGTTGAGTTTTGAGGGCAAACACTGGAAACACCTTCACACACAGGGAACACCTACATGTACAAGGGAAGTTGGTATGAGGGCACACACAGGAACCACCTACATGTACAGGGGAGGTTGGTATGAGGGCACCCACAGGAAACACCTACATGTACAGGGGAGGATGGTATGACGGCACTCCCAGGAAACTCCTACATGTTCAAGGGAAGTTGGTATGAAGGCACACACAAGGGAACCCCTACATGGACAAGGGAAGTTGGTATTAGGGCACACACAAGGGATCTCCTACATGTACAGGGGCAGTTGGTATGAGGGCCACACAGGAAACACCTTCATGTACAGGGGAAGGTGGTATGAGGGCACACCCAGGGAACTCCTACATGAACAGGGGAAGTGGGTATGAGGTTCTAGACAGGAAGTACCTAATGTACAGGGTAAGTTGGTATGAGGGCCACACAGGAAACACCTTCATGTACACGGGAAGTTGGTATGATGGCACACACAGGAAATTCCTACATGTACAGGGAAAGTTGGTATGAGGGCACCCACAGGAAACACCTACGCGTACAGTGGAAGTTGGTCTGAGGGCACACACAGGAAAAACCTACGTGTACAGTGGAAGTTGGTCTGAGGGCACACACAGGAAATTCCTACATGTACAGGGGAAGTTGGTATGACGGCACTCACAGGAAACTCCTACATGTACAAGGGAAGTTGGTATGAGGGCACACACAAGGGAACTCCTACATGTACAGGGGAAGTTGGTATGAGGGCACACACAGGGGAACTCCTACATGTACAAGGGAAGTTGATATGAGGGCACACACAGGGAACTCCTACATGTACAGGGGAAGTTGGTATGAGGGCACACACAAGGGAACTCCTACATGGACAGGGGAAGTTGGTATGAGGGCACACACAGGGAACTCCTACATGTACAGGGAAAGTTGGTATGAGGGCACACACAGGAAACTCCTACATGTACAGGGGAAGTTGACATGAGGACATAATGGATTGATAACATGTTGCATGTATCGATTCAACTTAATTGGATAAATGTTCACATTGTCGTCAGAGGAACGCAAATATTATCAAGGGATACTGATACATTGATAATGATATGTACTAGGACTTGACCAGAATATTAGCACGTGTTAAGGCTGTGTGATATATACCAGGGGAACGAACAGGATCTAACATATGCCAGTCTTACACGTGTATATCACTGTCATATCCTGGATGACGTCATAGAACTTACGCGACTCATCAGTAGCATTAATAAAAAGCTTAACGAAGCTGACCATATAATTGGAACCATTTTTATAAAACGTTTAACGAAATCCGAATGTCTATAAAGGCAACGTAGTTATGACTAAAATAGCATATGTGCATTCTGTAACATTGGGAATACACCTAGAACACTAATGTACAACACGATTGCTAGCGACTAGCACTCCTGAACAACCGCTTACAGGTTACCTTGATAAACGTCTGTTTTCTAGCTTTCTGGTAAACCAACCAGTTACTATCAGCCATTGCAAATAAGTATCTGCAGAACTTCCACAGATAACAGAAGGACTTAATGGATGGGATCATGTTAAATGGCACGGGTAGGGTACTGCCCTCGTCCATGTAGTTCAGCCATAACTTGGTCCGGGCGAATTTCCACTCTACATCACAGTCGGTCTGAAACATATTATAAGCATAAATTCTCAATTAACAATTAATCACACCACATACCTTACACAGCGTGCCTAACTGGTTTACACGGGGGCAATAAATTGACACAGCGTGGCTTGCTGGATTACACTAAGACTTGTTTTTTTCACACTTTGGCAGTAAAGTGATCCACCGGGGGTAGCGATACAGCGTATCTTTTTTATTCACACTGGAGCAGTAAACTGACACAGCGCACATCGCAATTTGACATTAAGACAATAAAGGGACACAGTTTGCCTTATTGGTTCAAATTCAAATTCATTTATTGACTTTGAGCTTTACAGCTCATCAGTATGTACACAATACATATAAATACAGTGGCAGACACTGCAATAACGCAGTGGAGAATGGACAAAAAATGCATGTAGTTACATATATTTTAACATTATATCATGCTATTCCTCAACTGGGTGGCATCATATATATATTTACTTAACATAGTTAATTCTTTAACGTTCGTTGTGCTTAATAATTGAATCAGCTTGAAAACAGATGGTTTTTTCCAGTAGTACAATTTTATACGTCTTTCTCTTAAAACTTGATAAAATGGACAAATGAACAAAAAATGGTATTCGTCTTCAATATCTTCAGAGTTACAAATTCTGCATATACGTTCATTTCTTACAATGTTTCGATATCTCCCAGTTTCAATATACAGCGTATGCGCTGATAAACGTAACCTAGTTAGAGCAATTCTATTTCGCTTTGGAATATATTTACATAAATATTGTTGTAATGTTAAATTATCAACTAAATGTCTATACAAAAAACATTTCGAGGAATTCTCTAATAATTCAAACAATTCTTGCCGTGCGTTATCAAAGATTCTCTGTTTAATAATTGGCAGGGCTTCAGACGAGTTCACATTATTTTGATTCAGCCACACTTCGCCAAGACCGAGTGAAAAAAGTTTGTCTTTCACAAAAGTTACCCAATTAAAAACAGTATTTCGCTTTGGCATATACATGAGTTCATCATAGGCAGTTTTAAGAACACAGTTCTTAGTATTTAAAAGCTTGAACCAGTACTTAATTAAATTATAGTGTCTGGTATGTACAATCGGAAATCTACCCAATTCAAAATAGATCATTACATTACATGTTGACTTCTTAACACATAATATCCTTTTGCAAAATTCCAGGTGAACTTTCTCAATATCTATGCCTTTGCACGAGCCCCATACCTCAGATGCGTAACACAGTATACTGGTAACATATGTGTCAAAAAGTTTAATCAAAGTATGGCAGTTTAAATTCATATTTTTACATTTTGTATATAAGGCAAATACTGACTTTCGACCTTGCCCGGATAATTGCTTTTGTACAATATTAAATTTATTGTTCCATTTAAAATCAATACCTAGATAAGTAAACTGTTCAACGACTTCTATTTTTTTTCTATCGAAGAACCATTCCTCGTTATTTCGTAAGCGGCCTCCATTTCTAAAGACAACAATCTTAGTTTTTGCCGTATTAACGGTCAATTTCCATGAGTTCGCATATATAGACAAACTATTTAACATATTCTGTAGCTCATTGGCTGATTCTGCAAGTAGCACCAAATCATCCGCATACATTAACAAAAAGAGACTGAGTTCTCCAAAATCATACGGTTTAACACTGTTAGCAATAAAATCATTTTCAAAGTCATTTACATACATTGAAAACATTATTTGGAATAAAATTTCCCCTTGGGCGAGACCCATGTTGTTTGCAAAAAAATCGGAACATCTTCCCTTAGATGAGACACATGTCTTAACTTTTTTATACATGGCTTTCAAAATTGATAACAGCCTTCCTCGAACTCCTAATTTTGACAATTTATACCACAATTTACAACGATCGACGGAGTCGAACGCTTTCTTATAGTCAACAAAACAACAATATAAACGTTAACACTTAGACAGTTAAATCGACACAGCGTGCCTAACTCGATTACTCGAGGACAATAAAGTGACACAGCGTATCTTATCGGTTTACACTGGGGTTGTAAAGCGACATAGCCTACCCTATTGGTTTTGCACTTGAACAACAAGGCGACATAGCCTGCTCTATTGGTTTTGCACTTGAACAACAAGGCGACATAGCCTGCTCTATTGGTTTTGCATTGGAAAAACAAGGCGACATAACCTGCCCTATTGGTTTTGCCCTGAAACAATAAAGCGACATAACTTGCCTTGTTGGTTAACACCGGAGTAATAAACCGACACATGTTTTACATGTTAACACCGGGGTTGTTAGCAGAGACGTAATGGTACAGACTTAGAAGTGGAAAACAAAAGTTTCTCACGCAAGGCTTCAGTCGATTGCTCTAACTACACATAATTGGAACCCCATGCTCAAGTAGTCAAATATATTCCTATTGTGTGGGATGCTGGAAGTTGTATCAGGTTGGCGCCCTCCGTGCTGATAGGCCGACTATTAACGTATACGTTCTACAACAGTTCGCAATCACGGCAAGATGACTTCAAACAAAGTAGCAAACGTTTTACGATTTGATCAACATTCATAAAAGTAAACGATAAAACAAGCTATATATACGATATACTGATATATAAAATTTATAACAGAGTACTTGTTAAGGTTTAAGTGAAACCATTATGCTATATCTGCTATCAGAACAATCTCTCTGTTAACGTACGAAGGTTCATCATTTAAAAACGAAAACTAGAATTATAACAGATGTAACGATGTTACACAAACTATCATTACCATTGAACTTATCTTCCTGTCGCTATCATCAATTGTGACATGAACGAGTCTGATATATAACAGTGGGTACGTTAATTACACTGAACGGACGTTAAGGCGATATAGCATACAGCGATGGTAGAACCGACATTAGATAAAGGATATTACGTCGATATCGGGGAACGTATCTCAGCTGATATCGGGGAACGTATCTCAGCTGATATCGAGGAACGTATCTCAGCTGATATCAGAGAACGTATCTCAGCTGATATCGGGGAACGAAACCTTACGTCGATATTAAAGAACGCATCTTAACTAATACGAAATGTTGAACCGATAGGCAATATCTTAAAGCGCACGTCGCGGTGACATTACAGAACACATGATGAACCGATAACAATCAATGCGTGTTTATAACACATATAATGTACCAACAACACTGCATGTTTCGCCGTGAAGAGTGGACATAAAACTACAATCAACACGTATCGCCTTAACACAAGTCCTATGTAAGTACAGAACACCGTGTGATGGTACATAGAACAACAAAAATACAACGACGTCTGATTGTTAAGAGAACAACAAATACAGAACGACGTCTGATGGTAAACATAATAACAAGTACCCAACGACGTCTGATGGTTATCAGAACAACAAATACAGAATGACGTCTGTTTATTAACAGAACGCCGTCTGACGGTAAACAGATTTGCTAAAACAGAAGCAATTTTATGGTAAATATATTTACAAATACATAACGCCGTCTGAACGAACACAAAGACTTATTAATATAGAACGCCATCTACTGGAACGCACAGAACTATAAGTACAGAACGCCATCTACTGGAACGCACAGAACTATAAGTACAGAACGCCATCTGATCGTATGAACATAAAAACGAATACAGAACTGAGTCTGATGGAACAGAGAGCTTCTAGTTCAGAACTGAGTCTGGTGGAACAGAGAGCTTCTAGTTCAGAACTGAGTCTGTTGGAACACAGAGCTTCTAGTTCAGAACTGAGTCTGATGGAACACAGAGCTTCTAGTTCAGAACTGAGTCTGATGGAACAGAGAGCTTCTAGTTCAGAACTGAGTCTGATGGAACACAGAGCTTCAAGTTCAGAACGTCGTCTGGTTGTACAAACAGAACACAGGTACATAACGCTGCTAGCTGGTACCGAATAATTACTTTTACAGTGTACCGTCTAATAGAACACGAAAAAATAAAAAGTACAATCGTATGGTATACATAGAACTACCAGAAAAAAAACCCCATCTGAACTATAAGTACAGGACGCTATTTGATGATACACACAGAGCTCCAAATACAGAATGACTTGTGATGGTACACACTGATCTACAAGTACAGGACCACTTCTGATGGTACACACAGAGCTCAAAATACAGAATGGCTTGTGATAGTACACACTGATCTACAAGTATAGGAACACTTCTGATGGTACACACAGGGCTCCAAATACAGAATGACTTGTGATGGTACACACAGAGCTACAAGTACAGGACCACTTCTGATGGTACACACAGAATTACAAGTACAGGACCACTTCTGATGGAACACACAGAATTACAAGTACAGGAACACTTCTGATGGTACACACAGAACTACAAATACACAAAAACTTCTGATGGTACACACAGAATTACAAGTACACAATAACTTTTGATGGAACCGCAGAATTACAAGTACAGGAACACTTCTGATGGTACACACAGAACTACAAGTACACAATAACTTCTGATGGTACACACAGAATTACAAGTACACAATAACCTTGATGGAACACACAGAATTACAAGTACAGGACCACTTCTGATGGAACACACAGAACTACAAGTACAGGAACACTTCTGATGGTACACACAGAATTACAAGTACAGGAACACTTCTGATGGTACACACAAAATTACAAGTACAGGACCACTTCTGATGGTACACACAGAATTACAAGTACATGTACACTTCTGATGGTACACACAGAATTACTAGTACAGGACCACTTATGATGGTACACACAGAGCTACAAGTACATGAACACTTCTGATGGTACACACAGAATTACAAGTACTGGACCACTTCTGATGGTACACATAGAATTACAAGTAAACAATAACTTTTGATGGAACACACAGAACTACAAGAACAGAACTCCTTCATGGTTTTATCATAAACATGCATGAACGGAACACTTTTTGGATTGTAAGGGTTCATGGGTGATGCCATTAATTTTCACACATACCTGAATATCCTCGAACGAGTGGCTCATCATGGCGATCAGCATATTGATGAGGACGATGATGATGACGACGTGATAGATTCCGAAAAGCGATAGCCCGACTCCCTCCACTATCGAGGTGCTACTCTTCATCAACGACTCCGGATCATTTGGGCTGTAAACTACAACACTGCCGACTTAATACATGTTTTATAAAGCACATGATAATAATAACCCCCATTTCACTCACTGATCAAAGCGCAACACTTATGCGGCTCGTAATGCTGTGCTTATTACGTTATAGATGAAAAGGTCGGTGCTAACTGTCTACCGTCTAATGTGCGTTGTAGTTACATTCTCATATACACTGCCTGTAATTTACCGAGCATTGATGCCACACTTGTTTCAACTTAGGTTTGTTATATGTCTACTTGGGTAACGGTTTCTCAATTTACTATCACAGACTAAAAAGACGTACCAACTTTTACTCTCGCCCTCTTTCAGCGAATATAAAATAACCATTCTTTCATACAAATACATCAGGCATCATTTGGTTGATGCTGTTTTCCAAATATAGCTTTTTTGTTGATGCTTAAATATTGATCAATACGGTATATACAAAGTCACTGCTATGTTTGATTTAGGTCAGACTAATATAATACACTCAAACACCCGACCAATATGTTCATGAGTGTTAGCTATTTTATAGATAATAAAGTATCTCGCATATTACTCCGTGGAATATCTACCGCTACGATACCGGAACACAAATCCACATTACACAGACTAGACTACAAAGTTTCAAAATAAAGGAAATATAAATCTATAACAAAAGCGGGTCGGCAAAGATGTTGTTATACTATTTTATCATGTATGATATACACGGAATACAAAGTATGTGGGTGGTCTTAAAACAACCTCTGATATCACGCAATGCTTTGTGGGAATTATGACGAGTAACAGTTCTCACTACAAAGCCAACACTACAAGGGATGCAATCTTGGGCGTATTTAAGGCATTTACGAAACATATGGGTTAGTTAGATATTAATGTATTGTGGATTGATTGCTTAACAAGTTACGAAAATCATGGGAAGTATTCTTGTTTGGGGAACAAGTTTATCCTACACATTATAATTGGTATTAAAATTTGAAACGCTATCAGAATTTTACCTCATTTCAAGAAATATCATGAGCATACTGTCTGTGATAATAACGTTAGAATATAAAAGGAATATAAAAATAAAATGCCAGAATTTGTCAATACAAAATTTACCGAACTAAACTAATATAAACTGACGTCAGTTAAGAGATAAACAACATAAGAGGGAGTTTTACGGTGGAATATATAACGTGTTTGAGAATATATTGGAAAAATCATTAACGAAAGCCACTTCCAACATTTCCAAATCCAGAGTTAACTATATTAATGTTATTTGAAAGTAAATGATGAGTATATCTTTTCTACCACAGAATAATGTAATTTTATTTACTTCCCTTTCTGTTTGAAACGAGAAACGATTTTTTTCTCTTTTTTTTTGCGTGCGCTTAAAATTGTCACGTGACGCATTGTTTACAATTTACAAACATGCTGATGTCACAAGAGCCCTAACTGCTGGATTTTGCGCGAGGGGTTATGTTGTGCTAGTTCAAACGTTTAGATAAGTTCACTACCGCGTGTTTCCCAACCCGACAAAGCTATTTCTCCGGGGACAATAATTAACGCACATCTCAATTTACATTCGCAATTTGATACATGGTTTTGGAAAAGTGTTGCACGTGTCTGCGTGCTGGAAAATGATACATGCACGCGCATGTATTTATATCAAATATATAGCTGGTGAATTTAATTGTCAAAAACAGTAAAACGATATAACATAGTAAAGGTATAAAGTGACCTTAACAACCTCTCCAAGGGCAATCATTATCCCTTGAAAATGACATTCTTTTGATAAGGCACCGTAGGAACCTTTCACTCATAAAGTATGTTTAATTCTAGCATATCTAGGTCTGGAGATTGTTGAAATTAGCCAATTTGACCTTCTTGCGCTCCGCCTTTAGGGCCCTACGAACGAGACAGGGTCTGAATGTTCATACCATCACACTGCATTCACATCATAATAATTTCAACCAAGTTCAACCAAGTTTTAAATATTGAAAATATACAAGATACCCAAAAGTGGTATTTTCCTTCATAAACTGTAGTAACTTTTATTTGGGAGCGGGTAATGAAATTCACAATTCTAACAAAACACCTTCAGATCCTTCTACTCATGAAGAGTACTTGACTCTAGCATATGTGGGTCGGAAGAAGAAGATTATTTATATTTAAGCCGATTTGACCCTGTTTGGCCCTGTCCCTCGTGTCCTTGTTTGAGTCAGGGGTTGAATTTGCATACGATCAAATAATCAATATTGAAATTTTAGCCAATTCGACCCAAGTTGGCCCCATCCCTTGGGTCTCTTGTGAGTAAGATCAATATATATTAAAAACTTTGGTTTGTTATTAATATAAGTTCTTTTTACTCAAAATTGATTTTACTGAAATTGATTCAGTGGTTTTTGAGCGTGAGTCGAGAATGTAAAATATTCGACTGAGACTTAGTCTCAGGTAGCCTTAAACCAAGAATACCGAAGGATAAACAAAGTAGAAAGCCAATATAGAGAATGTAACCTGACCACCAAAGTCATATTTATTGTAGATGGGGTGAGTAACTAAAGATATTATATTCAGAATCAATTTCACCAACGTTCGTTCTAACATAGTCTCAACAGTAAATGTTAGATGATAGAAAAAAACAATAGATGTTAGACATAAAAGACAAAAGAGATAAAGATTCCTATAAATGATAAAATCTACTAGGTCAGAACTATTACAATAAGTGCAACGCTAGTAAAGTGTCGGACTAGGAAGTTGTCTGAACAGTAAGGTGAAGGTATAACAAACTATCAGATCTGGGTGTTGAACACATATGGAGATGGGTAGGTTTTCCCTGAGGCTGGCAGTTCCGCATTATCATAATCGGTAAATACCAACAATATGTTACCCGGTCTATTAAAGTGGACGTAATACCATTGAGAAAGGCATCAAACAATTTGGTTTATCTACATAAAACATTGCATCAACAAGCCATTTAACAGTCCCTATTCAACACAGGTGTGCGTGTAGATAAAAGGAAACAACAATGGATTTCGGTGCCTTTTGAAATAAGTTTTCTTCTACGATTAACTTTAGATATCATAGAAGAAGTAATTGAAACATTCCTCGTTAATCTGTAAGGAGCCCGTGTGTTCATGTGAAGTCTAACAACACGTGCATCGGAGAAGATAGCGAGGAAATGTAAAGAGAGAGAAAGAGAATAGAGAGGGAGATAGGGTTACCAGTGAGTTTGGCCTGACTGGTACCGCACACGGACGAGGGAAGCCCTGTGATGTTATTTAGCTATAAACCGGTATACCGTCAATGTGAAATAGTATTTCACCACCCATTATAATTTCACTCTAGATCAATATACAATTTTAGTTGAATGATATCTCACAATCTTCACTAATTTAAAAATAGCATAATACAAAACATTTGACAAGTGCTAGCTATAATGTTATATAGAAATTCCGCAACTACGACATGTTATTGTGTTTATCGAGTTAGTTTTACTCTTTTTGAAAAGTAGAAAGGACCTGTAGAGAGATATCAAAAAAGGAAAATTAACTAACGACAGGAAAACAAACATGATGAAAATATACGACATGAGTAGTAGAACTAAGTTCTCCCACTCCTACAGTACTATAGGCGTCATCAATCCCGATCCCTTGGATAAAGGACCTTAGCTGTTAATAGGACGTTAAACAAAATAAACAAAACCCCTGGATAGGCCTGTTAGGAGTTGGTAAATGTGTCTGGTAACCCAACAGTTAGTAACACCCTTATTTCATTGGTCAATCGTCTAATTATGGCGTCAACAAACGATGCTTTGCGACGTAATCTTCCGTCGTGACGTCATGTTGCATTGTCTGTTTCCCCGATCAAAAATAGACATAAAGTGTATTTTCCAATGGAAACCTGTGATTTCTAGATGAAATATGAACATTATGGGAGAAAAAGGTCCACAGGCTCGTTATGGTTGATTGTCATGTTTATCAAACTCTCGTTAGTTATATTGTAAAAGCTCTCCGTTAACCTCATGTCTTTATGTATTTTGAAAATTAACTAACTCGAGTTAGATAAACATGATAACCAACCTTCAGTCATTGGGGAACCTCAATTTTTCTACCACAATTCCTTTAAATACTGTCGAGTTACCAACATTATCTATTTACAAACGAGAGAGACAGGGAAGGAAATTGAAGTGATACGATTGCTAACTTGTATTCAAAAATCCCACAGCTAGGTTTACTGAGATATGATACCCTGATAAGGTATCTTATGATACTTTTAATATATTGTTTTGGCTCTATTTGAATAAATTATATATTTTTTAAATATTCATAAATCCACTACATTGGAGATAAATGTCTAAAATAAAGGAGCACTAGCTGGAAGGACTCTAGCACTATGTTCTATAGGTCAGGATTGTAATCAAGGTTATCGAAGATGTTTATAAACCGGAAGATCAACGCTTCCTTTTAAACAACACCTCTGCCGTTTCATGTTTGAGCTGGGAGGTGAAAAAGGGCAATTGCGGTAGAAACAGTATTTTACTATCAATATTATAAAACGTTGTACCATTTTAATTGTATTGCAAAGTGTATAACTATATTTCATAATGATCTAAATAAAATATGATATAGCGATATTTATATTTTCTCAATTAAGTTTTATGTAGTAATACGCTATTACAATATGTTCACAACATCATATTGTAATATGTAAATATACTACAGTGTATCAATGAAATATTATATAACAATATGTAATGAGAATTTCTGCAATGTTTCATAGTTATTTGTTAATCTATATAAATATCAATGTGAAATACCAACATGTCTTTATAATATCAATGCAATAAAGATATCATTTACGACACCTTTACACATTTATCAGTGAACGTGTTGATAAAACATACATAAGATGTATAACTATAGATACCAATATAGTTTTAATGGTGTTAAGGTATGGCCTCAAACCCACCCGGCTTACATATAGACATACGTGTTTGACCCCACCCCACCCGGCTTTCATGCAGACATGCCTGTATTACCCCACCCTCGTCCCAGCTTATATCCCGACATGCCTGTATGACCCCACCCCACCCGGCTTTCATACAGACATGCCTGTATTACCCCACCCCCGTCCCAGCTAACATACAGTCATACCTATATGACTTCACCACACCCGGCTAATATAC